TAAATCCCATTCCATTCCTAGTTCCAATTCTTTTCTATTCTGTTCTGAATTTTCTTATTCTATTCTGTTAATTCTAATTCTATTCTAAATCCCATTCAAATTCTATCCCATTCCCATTCTATTCAGAATTTTCTTATTCTATTGTATTCTATTTTTAATTCTAATTCTATTCTGAATCCTATTCCAATTCCATTCCTATTTTAATTCTAGTCTCTATTTTCTTTTCTATTCTATTCTGAATTTTCTTATTCTATTCTATTAATTCTAATTCCAATTCTATTCTAAATCCCATTCCATTCCTAGTTCCAATTCTTTTCTATTCTGTTCTGAATTTTCTTATTCTATTCTATTCTGTTAATTCTAATTCTATTCTATTCTGAATCCCATTCAAATTCTATCCCATTCCCATTCTATTCTATTCAGAATTTCCTGATTCTATTCTATTCTATTAATTTTAATTCTCATTCTATTCTATTCAGAATTTTCTTATTCTATTGTATTCTATTTTTAATTCTAATTCTATTCTGAATCCTATTCCAATTCCATTCCTATTTTAATTCTAGTCTCTATTTTCTTTTCTATTCTATTCTGAATTTTCTTATTCTATTCTATTAATTCTAATTCCAATTCTATTCTAAATCCCATTCCATTCCTAGTTCCAATTCTTTTCTATTCTGTTCTGAATTTTCTTATTCTATTCTATTCTGTTAATTCTAATTCTATTCTATTCTGAATCCCATTCAAATTCTATCCCATTCCCATTCTATTCTATTCAGAATTTCCTGATTCTATTCTATTCTATTAATTTTAATTCTCATTCTATTCTATTCAGAATTTTCTTATTCTATTCTATTAATTTTAATTTTAATTCTGTTCTATTCTGAATCCTATTCCATTTCAATTCCAATTCTATCCTATCCTATCCAGCTTCTCTGGGTCTCTTTCACAGAGCTGGTGGTGAAGTGTTCTGCCGTACCAACACTTGGCAAGGAGAAAACGTAAAGTAAAAGTCCGTTACTAAAAATCTTTTAAGAACCTGGACAATCCTGAATAGGATTCGCACCTCATTGCTGAACCTCACTTACTACCTAACTTGTTCAGTGGCTATTTCAAGTTATGATGGTGCTATAAAAATTAACTTTACGATCCATTTATGTTTACGACTTCCCAGCATTTCTTCACTTGCATGATTAACATTATAGCCTGCATGCATTAATCCTGTGCCTGTCGTTTTTTTTCTTCCCCTACCCCTTGAAGCTAGGAGAGAAAGGGATTACAAGAGAGTTAGCGGGCTCACAATGCAGAATTAACGCTGAAAGGCAAGTAGTGGCACCAGCATCCCCAAACCCACTCTACCAGGGCTCAGCAAACTGCGGCCCTGGAGCCGCATGTGTGGCTCTTTCCTCCCTCTGCTGCGGCTCCGTCACCGGTCGGCACCACAATTTTGAGAGGAGCTTCTGGGGGGTGGGTGGGGAGAAGCACAGTGCGCCAGGAGAAGACTCTATGGCAAGGGGAGGGTTTTCCAGTTGTCTTCACAATTGGTAGGGCTATACAAACAGCCCAGTGCGTTCCAAATCGCGTACCTGCCGACTCTCGCTTAATCCCTTCCTCTGCAATCTCTTCCTCTCCAAGAAAGGGGTGCTAACCGGTTAACATTGACAGGGGTGTGCATTCATGGGGGCCTCCATCCTTGCGCAGGTGGACACTGTGGTGAGGGGTGCCTTGCCCTTTTATCTCCAGGGCATTGGGAAAACCTTGCTTGAGTCTGTCTGCGTTGGTCACGGAGACTCTATAGGACTCTGCTTAAATGGGGCACGGTATCCTCCCCTCGGATTGACCACGTCAATCTGTAGGTCACATGACCTGATAAACGGAGGGCATCTAAAGTGTCGTACTATCGTGATGCCGTTTTTGGCCTCAGCCAGCTGTAGGGAGGCCTGCTGGGCCCAAAATGGGGAGGAGGAGGGTCGCGTGCTTGGGCAGGGAGCGGGGCATTTGGGGTGGGTGGGTTGTTGCACGCATTGCATTATGGGTGGGGGCATGTGTGGGTGCTTTGGGCACACAACCACAAAAAGGATAGTCATCACTGGTCTAGTATCTGATTTTTTAAAAATAAAAATGACGCTGCGCTTCAATGGTTAATTGGCCTAGACCAGGGGTCAGCAATCTGTGGCTCTGGAGCCGCATGTGGCTCTTTCATCCATCTGCTGCAGCTCCCTTTTGCTAGTCACCTCCACAATTGATAGGACTCTTGATTAAGACTGGAGAGACTGAAGACTGGAGAACTGGACTTCCAGTCAGCAGAGGAAAAAGGACACCATGCTAGGAGGAGACTCTACAGCAAGGGCCAGCAATTTGTAGCTCTCGAGCCACATGTGGCTCTTTCATCCATCTGCTGCAGCTCCCTTTTGCTAGTCACCTCCACAATTGATAGGACTCTTGATTAAGACTGGAGAGACTGAAGACTGGAGAACTGGACTTCCAGTCAGCAGAGGAAAAAGGACACCATGCTAGGAGGAGACTCTACAGCAAGGGCCAGCAATTTGTAGCTCTCGAGCCACATGTGGCTCTTTCATCCATCTGCTGTGGCTCCCTTTTGCTGGTCGGCTCCACAATTGATAGGGCTTTCAATTAGGACAGGTAGAGGATGCTGTGCTAGGAGGAGACTCTACAGC